CATAAGTTGACAAGTCGCAACTGCATGTAATTTCACCAGCACCCTTACCCTTCAAAACCGGAACACAGTAATGGTAACATTACTGCATTACTGCTGTTTCACAAGTAACTCTACTGCTACTAACTTTATTATAAAAAAACTTATCTCTAAAGTTTGTTGTCTTTTTTTTTGTTGTGTTTGTCAAGTTTTTATAAATAAACTGACTAACGGAAAGTGGGTGAAATCCAATAAATCGGATTGAACTCCCCTAAAGTCCAATTCAGCAGCTTGACTTTGATTGTCTCTCCCGATCGGAAACTGCGTCTCTTCCGAGTCGAGGCGCATAATTGCGATTTACAACTGGCTGATCGGAAACTTTTGACAATAGATGATATAAATCACAAATTAGAAAGATATTGTAGGAATCCGGTTCATCTTGTAGTTCGGAAACCCATCTGATTTCGAGACTCGGTTGGGCTACCGGATCGGATCGAGGGAAGACTCACATGACGCTACTGGTGTATTCTGTGACCTTTCCAAGGCTTTTGATTGTATGCACCAAGATACTCTGGTCAGGAAACTTCGCCATTATGGTGTGGCGGGACGTGACCACGACCTTCTTAAATCATATTTGAGTGGTAGGGTCCAGAGGGTCGATGTTAACGGTACGAGATCATCAGGGTCTGCAATAAGCATGGGTGTCCCTCAAGGTTCAATTCTAGGTTCATTTTTGTTTTTAGTTTATACACTCCCGGACACGTAAGTCGAGCCACCTTGCATTTTCAGTATTAATTGACCTAAGCTTAAACAATGTTTGATTGACCGAAAACTACTAAGCTGTTTTGAAATTGGTATATTAAACGTCATTTCCTTGAGTCCTAGTTGATAATTTGAATTGAAAAAACTGGGAAAAACTGTTTTCTTCGGTGATAACAATATTTTTGTGTTCTGCCCTATAAGAATAAAAATGCAAGGTGGCTCGATTTATGTGTCCGGGAGTATATTAATGACTTACCTAACCTCATGGAGGGTTTAAAACATGAGATAGTATTGTTTGCTGATGATACTTCATTATTATTTAAAGTTAAAAGGCACCAATGTTCCTACGACGATGTGAACAATATTGTATCTAAAGTAGTTGATTGGTTTGCTGTTATTAGCCTGCTTAATGAGAAAAAAACGAATTGTGTGAATTTTACATTACCCAATATTAGAGAGACGGTTACAAACATTGTAATTAGAAACGAAAAATTGAATCTTGTGGATACAGTTGTATTTGTAGGTATAACGTTAGATGCTAAATTACAATGGCGTCCACATATATGCTGGCTGTTAAATCAATGTTAAGAGGAAAATCTCCTGGCCACGACGGTCTCAGCATTGAGCACCTCCAATACGCCGGACCTAACTTACCTAGAGTTTTAGCGATGCTCTATACATTTTGTATTGGTCACTCATACTTGCCCACTGACATGATGAGGACTGTGGTGGTACCGATTGTGAAGAACAAAACAGGTGACATTAGTAATAAGGATAACTATAGGCCTATTTCTTTAGCAACAATTATTGCAAAGGTGCTGGACGGTCTGCTTAATTCCCACATTGGAAGACTTATAAGCTTACATGACAATCAGTTTGGTTTCAAGCCGGGTTTATCAACTGAAAGTGCGATATTGGCACTAAAGCAGACTGTGAAGTACTACTCAGACCGTCATACACAAGTATATGCATGCTACCTAGACCTCTCCAAAGCATTTGACCTGGTTTGTTATGATATTCTGTGGAGAAAACTTGAAGATATGAATATCCCTACAGAATTAAGCAACATCTTCAAATTCTGGTATCAAAACCAGGTCAATGTTGTGCGATGGGCGGGAGCATGCTCAGAGCCATACCGTTTGCAATGTGGTGTTAGGCAAGGGGGTTTGACCTCACCTATGCTGTTCAACATCTACCTAAACGCGCTGTTAGAGGAGCTCAGCAGCACGCATGTCGGCTGTCATATTGATGGAATATGTGTCAATAATATCAGCTATGCAGATGACATGGTGCTGCTGAGTGCCTCCGTGTGTGGGCTGGAGAGGTTGGTCAGCATTTGTGAGAGGTATGCAGTTGGACATGGACTCGCATACAATGTATGCAAGAGCCAGTGCATGGTCTTTACGGTCAGAGGGAAGCCTAAGCCGGATGTGCCAAGTATCAAGTTGAGGAATACAACACTTGAGGTTGTTACTCGGTTCAAATACCTGGGGCACGTGGTGACCTCTGACCTTAAAGATGATGAGGACATTGAGCGCGAAAGAAGAGCATTGTCCGTAAGAGCCAATATGATTGCCCGCAGGTTTGCTCACTGTTCGGCTGAAGTAAAAGTGACGCTGTTCAAGGCCTTTTGTACATGTTTTTACACAAGCAGCCTGTGGGCGGACTACACGCAAAGGCAGTACAATGCTCTAAAAGTGCAGTTCAATAATGCATTCAGGGTGCTGTTGGCGCTGCCCCGGCGCTGCAGCGCTTCAGGGATGTTCGCAGACGCGAGGGTGGATTGCTTTAACGCTACTATGCGTAAGCGATGCACCTCCCTGGTGCGCCGGGTGCGGGCCAGCGGTAACAGCATCTTGAGCTTGATAGCTGGCAGGCTTGATTGTTTGTATGTGTCCCACTGTTGTATGGTACATTTAAACAAAAAGTGTAATTATTATGTACCATAGATTGTTTGTTTGAATTTGATTATAATCTGATTACTATTATGTGGATATTGTGAATTTTTATTTTTAATGTTTTGCAACTAACATAGTTTTTTAAGAACAGTCATTGTTACTAACAAATTTGGACATTATTAATTTTGAATTTTATTATTATTATTTTTAAATTGTATTTTTGTTCTTTATGATTTCTACTAACTTAGCGCATAAGATATTGTTACTAACAAATATGGACTAAGTTGTCTGTTTGAATAAATGAATTTGAATTTGAATTTATATATGTAAGTTATAAAAACGGCTCAACTCTGCAGTGTACGCGATTAAAAAAATACGGAAACTTTCAGACGTCGAAATCGCTAGATTGGTTTACTTCAGCTATTTTCACAGTCTAATGACATACGGCATTTTGCTTTGGGGTAATGCCGCCGATATCAATAGAATTTTTGTCCTGCAGAAACGTGCGGTTAGGACAATTTACAATCTGGGCTCCAAAGTATCTTTGAGAGATAAGTTTAAGGAAATTAATATTCTTACACTAGCGTCACAGTACATCTATGAAAATGTAATTTATGTTAAGAGGAATAGTAATCTCTTTATGAAAAATAGTGACAGACATAACATTAATACGAGGAATAAAAATAAACTAGCTGCTCTTGATAGTCGTCTTCACAAAGTGACAAATTCGTTTAGGTGGCAATGTACACTTCTATAACGAGATTCCGGTTGATATACAAAATTTGCCATTCACGAGGTTTAAAACTATAGTGAAACAAAAACTTTATACTAAAGGTTATTATACAACTTCTGCGTGATTGGATGAGAAAAATCCGTGATAGTAACCCGATTAGCTCATGGAGGTAGTCTCAATCTCTGATGTTTGAAAGCAAAACAGAAAATATATTGTAAATGCGTACAAATGTTATTCACAAAGAGCAACCCCTAGAGTTTCTTGCTCATTCTTCTCAGGGGAATCTGCCTTACGAATGAGCAGTAGAGTTTAACCATTGTGACGATATCAAGTGTAATAATGTATACCTATGAAATAAAGATTATTTTGATTTGATGTGATTAGAAAACTACACCAAGTGTTTTAAAACCTGGTCTCATACCACGGAATTTCCTGCACTGTAAGTATGTACCAGCAGGCTGATTTTAATTGAAATAGGAATCGATCTGATCGGTTAGCCCATCCGAGTCTAGAAATCAGATGGGTTTCCTAGCGAGAATATGAACCTGATTCCCTACTATATCTTTCTAATTAGTGAGTTAAATCAACTATTGTTCCGATTTGAAATCTCAAAAGTTTCCGATCGGCCAGTTGTGAATCACAATTATGCGCCTCGACTCGGAAGAGATGCAATTTCCGATCGCAAATCAAACTGCAGACCAAGGGCATGCACACTATGGCACTGCCTCGAGCACACCAAATCAGAGCCAATTTAGAAATATCCATTTCTAATCCGTTCTACCACTGAATCGATTCCAGAACCTCCTCTTCAGCGCTCTACAGCCATTGGGCCGCAGAGGTCGTCGTAAGTTACTTACTTCGATGGGTCAGCGATCCGAAGAGAATCTTGGCGTCCGACACCAAAGTACGCCATTTCTGTTGGTCTTGCGCCAATTCCGACCATTCGGACACATCAGTTCCTTTAGGTTTTTGGCGAATCCAATCTTCCGGCGATATCTAAGACGGCCCACTGGACGACGACCTGGATCCTATCCTAGCCAGCGAAGTCGGATAGAATTTATTTCCCAGATTATGTTCAGCTCGGACACTAGCTCTTCTATCTCTCTATTGAATCGGGCCCTCCATTTCCCAAATTCTCCTTTCGTCGTAAGTTATCATAAGATTATCATAAACCGTAGATTAGTCACGCTTTAACAGACATAAAATGGTCGCTTCTCGATCGATCTAGATATGTAAACATGTAACGATAATCAATAGTGTGCCTTTTGAAAGGTAAACAATACAGCAAAAGTTTAATGTAGGTAATGTTATCTGATTAAATCGTTCAATGACCTCATCCAATCAAATCAAGGCTCAAGCCGCCTGACCACGAAATAATCGAGGTAATTGGCTGATATCCTTGCAAAATTTTGTCGTTTATTGGTCACATTTTACATTACATTGAAATTTCTAGAAGCCGAATCTACTTTTGACATTCCAATAGATTGTTTGCTAGTGAGCGGACGTACTTAATAAACTATAAAGTTATTTAAAATATTTGGTATAAGTGCTTTTTTAACACTTTTACATACAGAAGAATATGTTCCAGTCTCGGATAGGGAATACGACAGTTTTAGAATTTGAAAATAATCGACCATTGTTTGATAGTGGAAACAAAGCAGTGTTTTCTCCGCGGACCTCAGACCTCTGTTTCTGTCTATGGGAACACTGGGCAGACAGGTACGATGCAACGTTATTCTATAATTGCAAACATCTCTGTTTTGTTGAAATAATATTTGTAATTGCGAATTGAAATCTTCATCTTTGTGCTCTGTGTGGTACCACATTATTTAATCCAACAATCAAGCGCTCTTATCATGAATTAATGATTACAAACATAGACTTTTGTATTCACACTGCAGGTTAAATTTCATTTTGGATTTATACATTTTGAGCATTAAATATTTAAAGCGAATATACCTATGAGAAAATAAGTAATATTAATTAAGTACGAGAACATTCTCTTTCACATATCGTCTTTGAAAAACGGTACTGAGCAACGTTGAAGTTTTCTATAAATGATGGTTCTTGTGACTAGTGTGAACGTCTTATAACGCGTTTACATGCACTAGACCGATGAAACACTGGCAGCCCAACCAATGTGAACTCTGAGTCAACAATAATCCTCTTTGACCGAGTCGTTTGACGTAGGCTTGTATAGTTCATGAACTACGAACTATTAGGAATATATTCCCGACACTGACCGACATGAACTAGTTCGTCTTACACGGTTTTAATAGTTCATCTTTCTTTTTAGTTCAGTCCGAACTAGGTACTATCTGCGTTGATAGTTCACCTGTCTTTTATTCAGTAGGAACGGTGCGAGGGGGACAAATAGCGATCTTTCACTGCTTTTCGTACAAGTTCGAGTGGGATGCTCGATTGAACGTTGACAGCTCGTATCTACACTATGTAAGCTTGCAAAAAAGTAAGTGCTCATATTTTTGATAGGTGTGGTAGGTATCTGTATGTATAATATCAACCTACGTGTACGAGTACATGAATAGTTGTACCTAAATATTGATTTTTAAACACATCATTCTAACTAAAATTCTTGTTTCGTAAAAAAGGATATTTAGTTAGAATTACAGTCTTTAAACCTGTCAAATATGAAGGAAAATCAAATAGTACCAATTCCATACAAATTGTATTTTTAAATATTTAGTGGATAGTGTCTATTGGCCTCATAATACCAGAAGACCGTTCATGTGAATAAAATTACTAGTTTGGAGCGTTTGTCCGAGCAAAAACAAGACGAACTAACTAACGAACTAAGGAACTTGATGTCACTAAATGAACTAGAAGACCGACCTAGTTCAGTTGATCGATTGAACTAATAGGATCGCTCCGTCTAAGGACCGATCAGGCACAAGTCTAGTTTTACGACCGTACGTACTTCGCTGCCAAGCCTAATCACTGTTCAGTATTGCCAGGTCAAATCTGAAAAAATCGGAAGATTCATGAACAGAAAAAACAATACATGCCGAACTTACGTTGTTTGAAACACTTTTGATCGATTTTCTTCAAACATTATCACGTAATGTTTTTGATGTTATCTTACGATGTTGGTATCTGACAATAAAAATTGTATTTTAACCGACTTCAAAAAAAGGAGGAGGTTCTCAATTCGTCTGTATGTCTTTTTGTATTTTACGCGATAATTCCGGCAGTATGGCATTTGTGAACCGATGATTCTGATGGATGATTCTTTTTGTTGAAAAGAGGGTACCTCATCAACAGCCTATCATAGTCTACAGTTGGACATAGGTCTCTCCCAATGCCCGCCATTTCGCCCGGTCCTCAGCTCGTTGCATCCATCTACTGCCAGCAGCCCATCGTCACTCCATCTGGCCATAGGGCGTCCTACACTACGTTTTCCGAGTCGTGGTCTCCACTCAAGAACCCGCTTCCCCCAGCGGTTATCGGTTCTTCGACAGGTATGACCAGCCGACTGCCACTTCAGCTTGCTTATTCTACCAGCTATGGCGACGACCTTAGTTCTCTGTCGGATATCTTGTCCTTCAAAGAAACCCCGAGCATAGCTCGTTCCATAGCTCTCTGAGCGACTTCCAACTGGTGAATTAACCGTATCGTGAGCCACGTCTCGGCACCGTATGTCATAGCAGATAAAACGCACTGATTAAAAACCTTTGTTTTCAAACTTTGCGTTATGGGTGACGAACAGACTCGACGTAGTTTACCAAACGCTGCCCAGTCAAGCTGAATCTTGGCCCCCCTTTCAAAGTTGTTTCAACCCAATCGCAAAATCTGCCCAAGGTAAATGTATTGTGTGAAACAACTTCAAAAAGGTGGCCATTTACTACGATTGGTCATGACTTTCGTTTTATCCAAGTTCATGCCGAGATCAATCCGTTGCGAGGCGGATGCTAGGCTGTCCAGCATTCGTTGTAGGCTCCTCTAGTGACTGCGCCATTAGGACTATGTCGCTAATCGCAAGTGTGAGTCCTTTTCCAGTCCAGCGATTAAACATGTCTTCCAATGCGGCCGTAAACAGTTTCGGGGATATGACATCCCCTGTCTAACTGGGTGGGCTTAGACTGCTGGCCCTGTATTTGGACACATTTGGTACCGGCGTCATACAGACATCTCATCACTTCGATGTAACGGAAGTCTATTTGGCATCGCTGTAAGGATTCCAAGACAGCCCAGGGTCTCGACGGAATCGAAGGCCTTCTCATAATCCACAAAGGCTAGACATAGGGGCTGATTATACTCTTCTGTCTGCTGTATAGTCAGCCTATCTGTGTGTGGTCTATGGTACCATATCCCCCTTTAATCACAGCCTGCACCGGTGGCTCAAACTCGTCCAGTCTTCGTCAGCGAGACGGTTCGTAATGACTCTAGAAAACAGCTTATAGGCGTGGCTCAGGAGAAAGATGGACCTGTAGTTTTTAAGTAGAGAACGAAGAGAACTACTATATTCCTGTTCAACGCCTGAGGAGTACTCCTACAATAGATGACAGGTTAAAGAGCCCCCGAAGTTCCTTAATAACAGGGACTCCTACAGATTTCAGAAGCTCTGTAGTAAATCCGTCTTCACTTGGGACTTTTCGTTTTGGCGCTGTTTTAGAGCTTTTAGAGCGCACGATCTCGTCTTGGCTGATTTCTGGCAGTTTGTCGGGGCAGCACCTCAGTAGTGGTCCCATTTAAATCTGAAGAAAATATGTGACTTCTAAGGGTGGCAAATTAGGGGATGAATCCGTTTTCGCGCACTTTCTGGTACCCGATTTCTACAAAATTTGGCAAATACCTAGCCACGAACTTTTGAGGTCGGTTTTTCAGTACTCTGTACTGAGATTATTTATTGCTTTACTCAACGGATAAGCAAAGTTGCGTTAGACAGCTCTCATTCCAATACAATTGCGAAGACTAAACTAAAACTAGTGCAGTTTAGAGCAAATAATTATTATGGAAAAAGATGTACACGCTATTTAGTTCCAAAAATATATAACGACATTGATTGATTGATACAAAATTAAGTAAATATGCACTAAAACGTAAGTTAAAGGCGTACCTCTTAAAATAATCTTTATCTTTTATTTAATAATTTAGTAGTTCAATTAATACTGTATAATGTTAAATATAGTAAAGTAGGTATTATTAAGTAAGAGTGCACATGTCGCCAACAAACTGCACAGCAGTTTGGCGACTTTTTGTAATAAGTAATACGTTGTAATTTTGAATAATAAATAAATAAATAAAAAAGAAAAAAACGGCTAAAAACTCGAAAGAGAAAGGCGCGTTTTTTTAATAGTATTTTTGGATTAATAATACCATAGATAATTAAAAGATACAGGCGTCACTTTGCGGAAGTCCAGGCCGGACGGCCGAGTGTCGAGCAGTCTATAGTCCCTGAGGATGCCTCGTGGAGAGGTGAAACACGTGTCGGGTATATTTATGGTGGTGGTTTGTGACTGTAGTTGCGCTTGTGTTATTTATTTTATTCATTTTATGCGGAGGGAGGGTACGATAATTAAATGCATGGAAAAATATTCAACACAAGCGCAGCTATTTTGCACGAATTAAACTTCACTGGGTTCGCGGAGTAGCAAATTAATTTATTTAATAATACCATAGATGTTGCTTCCCAGCATTTTCTAGACCTGTGATTGACAAGTATGCCGAAATACTAATTAAAAAAATGAAAGGACGACGTTCTACGATTTGATCACATTGTAAAGTTTTGCAAAAACTCCTACAAATGTTCAATATATTCAGAGTCACAAAATCGAAAATGCCGACAAGAATAATTTTGTGAAAAGTGAAAAATCTGAAATATTATACATACAGATACCAACTACACCTACCAAAAAATATTACTTTTTTGCAATATACATAATGTAGATACGTATTAGAGACTTAGGACGAGCTGGCAACGTTCAATCATGCATCCCACTCGAATTTGTACTAAAAGTAGTGAAAGATTGCTATTTGTCCCGATCGCACCGTTCCTACTGAATAAAAGACAGGTGAACTAACAACGCAGACAGTTCCTAGTTCGTACTGAATTAAAAAGAACGATGAACTATTAAAACCGTCCACGATGAACTGTTTCATGTCGGTCAGTGTCGGGAGTATATTCCTAATAGTTCGTAGTTCATGAACTATACAAATCTACTGGCCACACTGTCACTGTTACAAAAGTTCAGCCAAACAAGTTTCAACGTTTCGGCGGCCATGTCCGTCCCTCCCATCACGATGCGCGAGATGGGGGGCCGGGGAATTACCTACCTTCCCGACATTGACCTACTAACCCGATCAATTTCTTGAACGTATACGTGTATTTATAATGATTCGGTGATTTTCGCGAAGGCGGCATTTGACGTGGTGTAAATATCGAGTCGACTACGCCTTCTTCGGTAAAGCGCTGTAGTCTACCGAATACGACAATCGACACAATTTTCTTGTTTCTAAAAACAGTTGCTCGATGTTACGCTTTTACCCCCATTATACGATTCAAGTGCAATATTAACAATCAGTATTTGTGCTTATGACAATACCTACTTTTACATTTGATTCTTAATCCAGAAAACTACACAAACTTATTTACGTATATTTGACATTATTTAGCTGATTGTAATAATAATATTTCTGGATATTAATTGCAAAAAAAAACATATTAATTGCTGCGGATGTGGACAGCCATGTTTTATTAAAACAAAATCGCAACATCGTTTTATTTGTACGCAGAGCCCTGCGACTTACCTATACCTACAAGAAGATCAAGCGGTGCGAGTTAGTGAGGAGGCGCTGGACGATATCCTCAAAATCTTCCATCAAAGTGACAGCAGTCTGATTCGACGAAGTATTCCGAATTGTGCCCAAAATGAGCTCGTCTACTCCCCATTCGGAGTACAAGGAAGTTGTTAACTTCAAGCATTCGAGTTGGTACAATAATAATTTTGAGCATATTAGATGCTTGGGCAGTGGTGGGTTCGGACACGTGTTTGAAGCAAAGCACAATCTCGATGGAAATCTATACGCGGTGAAGAGGGTCACGTTACCGGAACAGTGAGTATTTTATTGCACAATAACACCGCATTCTGTACACAGACTTTTAGATTAAAGGAATGTAAGGAAGGTAATAGACTTAAGGAAGGTAACGTATCCAGTAGTCTATTACAGGACAATAAATACGGTAGAAGTGCTTAATTTGCGTGACACGTGTGTCGACAGTGCCCGACAGCATACGAAGTTCCACAGAAACTCAGTGCGCCATTTTCGTTTTGTATGTACGTTTTATGGTCATGTTAACTATCTCGACAAAAACCTCGAAAATCGTAGAAAAATGCCTTATTTTTGTACTTTGGAGTAAATTAATAATAGTCGCATTTGTAATATTATCTATGGTGGTGTTCCATTTCATTGTTAAGTCTTATTTTATTTAATTTTAAATTGAAACTTGAATTACGACAGTAATAATTTTTTTGTTACGAGAAACAAAAGTAAACCTTATACCGCTGCAATTAGTCGCTTTTTTGGGAGAACTAAGTAAACATCTCGAATTCGTCATCGTTCAGCTATTGATCGCTAGATGGCAGCACATTGATTGAAATTTCAATATGAAATCAAAACATCGGATCTTGCAATAATAGGTATTGAACTTACAAAGATATGCCAACAGGGTAAAGTTTAAATTATATTAACAATCAGAAATTATAATTTGTTTTTAAATTAGAAAGTACGACCAGTCCCATATCATTCTACATATATTTTGTTTCCTATCAACCTCTTGGTTATGCGCGAAGGGCACTGTGACCTATGCGCGCCCAGGTACCTTATAAGTTCAGGTTCTGACTCCAGATCAGCCAGTGTACAGGGTTATCACAGACCTCTGTCACTTGACTTTATCGAGAGGCTAGTGCCTCGGGTGAGCCGCTCCGGGAGCACATACAGTACCCTCCCTATTTTCCAGATAGGTATCGGAGCTGTAGGCACGCTCACTTCCCGTTGTGCATTGCACAACTAGCGGTGACTAAACTAGCTCTGAGTCCACTACCAAATCTCCTCATTGGTGGCGGAGCTGTAAGACACGCTCACTTCTCGACGCCGAAAAACGACGTCTCTCCAGTTCCCAATAACCTTGACGTGCTCTTGACAAAATCTCGCCTTACGATTATGTATGTTATGTATGTTTTTCACAATATAATTACTGATAATTTTGAATGTTGCTAGTTTAAAAAACAACAAAATGTCATAATACGCAACACAAACACAAGAAAATTAATGAATTGTCCCCAGTTTAGGCTGCTAACAGATTGACTGCATGTTTGCAGCTAAACTGAATGACGTTGTAACCGACTTCATACAGTTGAGATCGACTTCATGCAGTTAAAACTTAATGCATAAGTCGTTATCAACTTCGGCAGCATGAAGTTGATTACGACTTTACTCATTATCTGCAAACATGCAGTCCATCTGCAATTAGCAGTCTAAGTAGCGAGCTTGCGCAGTCGCTATACATCAATATTATTATTTACTGTTTAGGGCGGAGGAAAGGAGATGCGTGTTACGCGAGGTGGCCGCACTGTCGCTTCTAGATCACAAGAACATCGTGCGATACTTCAACTCGTGGTCCGAAGAGTCACAGCCGAAGTAAGCTACTCTTGTCACTGTAACAAATTACCAAGTCATATACGTCTCTCTACTGAGCATGGTAGTCAGGTATGCAGGTTAAGCATTCGCCACATATAGCACATAGCACAATCGAAATTGTGAAATTGAGAAAACACGATTTGAATTTAAAAGAAATACCGAATGAAACCAGTAAATTTATATTCTTGCATAAATGGATAACTAAATACTATGTTTGAATAAAGGTTATCACATGATTCGCTATAAGATCCCTTCAGTATTTTTTGAGATTTCTCAATACCACCAATTTCTGAGTTACGATCGTATTTGATTTCAAATACGATGTCACCAAAACCAATTTCTATAGCTCTTAAGGAGCAGTTCTCCTCACGTTATCACCACTCATGATTAGGACCACGAAATCAACAAAGCAAGCATCAACAAACAAGGATCACAAAATTCGAGTTAAATACGTGTGTTTACACGAGTGTGTATGGGTCGTATTCTAGAACTCTACTCAATGCTCAAGTCAAGATTGCACTGGAAACACAAGCACTGGAATTACGACCCTAATGGCAGGGACTTGGGTACGATTTCGAGTGCTTCGAATCATACTCAAGTCCTGACTTGAGCATTGAGTAGAGTTCTGGAATACGACCCTATGAGTCTCACTGTAGTTTTGTATAGTTTTTTTTTTTCATAATGAATGGCTTGTGAGACTATTTGTCTCAATTCTGCCAGTATCCGTTTCATGCTAGTTACGTAAATATAATGGAGGGAGTGTATTTCAGAAAATTTGTTCGATGACTCAGTGGGAGTGTCAAAGAGGTTTTCTATATAATATTTTTTGAATTGATATTCAATTATTATTTCATGCGAAATCACTCCACTAGTTTCTTATAATTATTAATACAAAGATCGAACACTTAGAAAAAATTCCTTCGTTCTGGCAGGGTTCGAGCCGACGTCTTCTGGCGTACCGTGTCAGACGCTATACCAACTAAGCCACAGAACGAACCAGCGGACTTTACGAATATTTCTATGTGCATGTTGTATTATCTTATCGACCCGTCGTTACTATCTTGGTGTTCAAGTCAACCGTTAACACAATGCCCAATGATTTGAGCAACAATTTTAAATAATTCACAATGTTCATGTAAATCACAACTTCACAAAAATCCCAAATTCTTCATAGAGTCAAAATTCTATTAAGAATCTTGAATCTTCAAATGAGCTTAACTTGATTAAAGTCCATTTTTTACCGTGCAGATGCGCTGAACACGATAAATATTATTGATTTGTCCTAAGATCGCTGAACTGCATCGGCAATTGCGGTCTATCATCAGGAACCAGCGCGGGTCACATGACTACAGACGGGAGTACCGACCATCCCACCAACTGCAATGACACTCGTTGCAAAAATTTACTGGAGGACGACGATTCCTTGATAGCATGCCAGGAGCCGTCTAACAAAAAACTTGACAAAGATCTTAACTGTACGAAGATTAAAATGGGTACTAAGAAGAAAAAGGTAGGTACATACAACCTAAACAACTTACAACTACATAACTTCCCGTTTATTATAACTTAAATGAACTAACTAACTAACTAGCGAACTAACGAAGCTAACACGGACAGCAGCCCTGTTTCTTTCAATCAACTGAGGTGCACTTATCGCAGAGTTTTAGATACAGATTACAATTTGGAAAGGTTGGTACGATGGGCCAAACTTAAAGAAACACAATTTCTCAATATTCTAAAATCTAAAAAACCAAAATTTTAAAATCTAAAATTTGAAGTTTTGAAGAAAATTTCTACAGTTTGAAGCCAGGTTTTCACTATACGCGTAAGCTCGAGCCGAATCCACTCGGATAACTTCTCGGACGCTATTCGTACCATGCAAACACGTGATCTGAGCGCACTCGGACATCACCAGCCGGTCAAAGAGGAATCGGACGCGGTTCTATGCTCACGAGCACACTCGGATCATTTTATGAAAACAAAATGGGGCCAACTAAGAAAAAGTGGAATGAACGTGACAACATGAGATTTTAAACGTGTTTTATATTCCACTTCAAGCACCCAGTTAGTCACATTGTCGTCTTAAAATGAATTTTCTGGTCCAAATCGTTTTCTTGCTTTGTATTTTCGACGTATTGAATTGTGCAAAAAGACAAACTTGTTACTTGGACGCTGATGAACTCGTAAGGTGTAAACTGAAATCCGAGTGGACTCCTATACAATATAACAGCCCCATATCTTTCTACAATACAATAGAATACAAAAAATTTTTATTGTACACGAAAAAAGGAAACAAATACAATAAAATTAAATTAAAAATAAGCGGTGGTACAATGGGCGGTCTTTTCGCTTTAAGCGATTTCTGCCAGACAACCTTTGGATGGAAGTAATTATATAATTCACAGGAAAAAGACGGCGGCGTATGAACAATTATTAATCAATAGATAAAAATCGATAAATAAATGCAAATATACATATATTTATAAATAAATTATAAAACCAATACTTATATAAGAATATCGTACACTACTATATATTCTCACACCTATAAATATAAAATTTCTAAAACACAATTTCAAAACATAAAAATACCTAAGCAGTTCAAGTCACACTAAAGTTAGGTAGTGTTCTTTTAACATATTTTTGAATATATACAATGATTTCGCTTGTTGAATAAACAAAGGTAAAGCGTTCCACAAACGAACAGCCTGAACAGTAAAGGACTTGTTATAATACTGGGAGGTATGCAACGGCATCTTAAGTTGGAGAGTTGAAGACGAGCGCAGAAGTCGGTCAAAAGCGGAAGTCAAATTTCCTCAGACCATAAATGAAACGGATGCAAAAGTTTTGTAGACGTTCGAGCTTGTTGAGCTGTTCTTCGGTTAAATCCAGATAGCAGGCATCAGCATAATCAAGAATTGGAAGAAGAGTTTGGGCAAGCGCAATTTTCGTGGCAATAGAAATTACGTAACCGTCTAAGAGATGCGGCAGACGCAAACAATTTGCAGCTGGTCTCAACTAATTGAGGTGCCCAAGATAGCTGCCTATCAATGAGTATACCGAGATTTTCTACATTGTCACCAATTTTAATGTAGGCGTCGTCTATAATAACCTACGGGGAGAGAAAAAAATCTATCTTTACCAATTCGTTGCGGTTAAGACCATATTGTTTACTCCACGTCGAAATATGACGGAGATCATTATTGATTTCCTCAACTACACCTCCCAACGCACCCTTAGGGTATACGAGAAGGGCACTATAACCTGTGCACGTACGGGAACCTTATAAGTTCAGGTTCTGACCCCAGATCAGACAGTGTACAGACTAGTGCTTCGAGTGAGCCGCCCCGGGTGCATATATAGTACCCTCCGTATTTTCCAGATAGGTACCGGAGCTGTAGGCACGTTCACTTCCTATTGCGCATTACACAACTAGCGGTTGCACCGCCGTCGACTCTAAAATCCACTATCAAATCTCCTCATTGGTGGCGGAGTTGTAAGTCACGCTCACTTCCCGATGCCGAAAAACGACGTCTCTCCAGTTCCCAATAACCTAAGCGGCTGGAGGGACCGGAGGACATCTAGCTTACCTTCTACCAGCTCTCCGGACTAGTGCCGGAGATGCTAGTCGCAGTGTCTTGCGACAATGTCCGACATAGCTTCCAAATTAAAGGGCAACTCACGTGACCCGCGCGTTTCCTCGCTTCCGGGTCGGTAGATAGGGACAATCTAACAGATGGATTCTAACTCTTACGAGCCTGCTCGGTCCGAGAGCATTCGTATAGTGAAAACCCGGCTTTACAAGAGACAGGTTCCACCACCTATGCTGCACTCTTTATAATAACTAACGTAGTCGACATTTTTAGCGAAGTTTAGTTATTAACATATCGCACCCCTCATCGTAGAATGGCATAAGTGGAGTAACGTCAAAAACGCTTATTGCTCCATTACATACAGAAAAATATAATCCACATTCTCTACAATTCTTGTAACTCTATCGACTAATATTGTAGATAGAGTTACAAGGATTGAAAATGTGGGTTATATATTTCTGTATCTAATGGAATCCACTTATGCCATTCTTCCATGAGGGGTGATATTATATCTGGAATCAGCGAAATGAGATCTACAACCCCCTCTAAAGTTTCTTATATGTTATTTAGATTCAGTTTTATTGTTAAATAAAATCAGCGTAGGTAATTGACTATTTTCAAAGAAAAAAAAACTTTAGATTTTTAACACCTATAGTTTCACCTAAAGTTATCAAAATGCAAAATAGTTATGACACGGAGAGCAGCGTGACTGGTACGTAATTAATTATCGTATACGTTTTGCCAGAAGTCGGTGCCTGAAAATCTCGTCACTTTTCTCTACATCCAAATGGAGCTCTGCAAGCCCGAGAGCCTCTTTGACTGGCTGCAGAAAAACGATAAGTTGGAGACGAGAGATATCAAGGTTTATTTTTTACATTCTTTTTTATATAAATTTAAAATATATATATATATTTCGAGGAATCAGACAATTTTTAGCCGTCCCGGCGGCGCGCGTTTATGCACCGTTCGAATCCGATCCAACCGGATTTAAGGAATTTTTCTTAGTGTTCGATAACTTAATGGAGTAATTTCACAAAATAATAACTGAACATCATGGTAGTCAAACATCGTGATATACAATAAACTTAATATTACAATTATTAAAGTAATATCTCTAGTCAAGCCGCTGGTAGCTGTAAAGGCACCTGGCTGAGTGAAGAAAAACTTTATAGATTTTTCACTGGTGGCTCTACGGCAAAAAAGTCATTAAAAACCATAAATAAAGATCTGCAACAAGCAAAGTCCGCTAGTTCGTTCCGTAGTTCAGTTGGAGAGAATCAAAGGAATCGACGGATGTCGTCAATTGTTTCACTTCAAATCGATCAGTTTAACTTGAATTTTGCTATAAAGGACGAAAAATAAAAATTACATAATTTTATATCTAATTACCGATGAAATGTGATTCCGTTTGTTTTGTAATTAGATGTCTTGCTGTTTTTGCCACACCTCTGAATGGAACAGCCCCCATAGCTAGAGATATATATCTTTAATACAATAAATACAGAATATTTTTGGGACGGACACGTACACATAGGTCAGTTGTTGGCGCTGTACTATTTCAGCTTTCTAATTTGTGATTTCAGCGCAAACGAGGGTTAATATTTAACAGTATGTTATCAGTACCATTTGACTGATGAGTTGCCAGGGATGGATGGGGTGGCCCTTATTTCGTCTCTATTTCTGGCTATATACTCGATAATATATGCTGACGATACGTATTTCACGTCGAGATGACAAACTGTCAAAATGGCTCCACTTCTTGTTTTAAAATCAATTTATTCAATATGGGGTTATTGGCCCTTTTCATTATAATGTTTAGCAATAAGGTCCAATCCTCTATCAGCTGTTTTTTTGCCCATGACAATGGTAGTTAAGGGCAGGGGTTGATACTATTGCAGGTGGTGAGGAATCTGTTCAGTCAAATAGTGTCGGCCGTGGTGTACATTCACAACAACGAGCTGATACATCGCGATCTCAAGCCGCAGAATATTCTGTTCTCTGTTTTTGATGGACGCGTAAAGGTGGGGGATTTCGGCCTGGTCACCACCATGGGGGATAGCGGCTCCGATGGGCCGGAAACTTCAAAACATCGCCGGCATACTAAGGGAGTTGGTGAGTTTTTACTTTATAACATATTTTTTATAAGTAGGATGTTCTCAAGGAGTGTGCACAAGTATGTTTTACTTTCGTACAAGAATCAAAATATTTAAATACACCGCACTAAACTGTGACAACTTTGCGCGGTAAAAAAAGAAAGCGCTAGCATAAATAGCAGTACGCAGGGGTTGGTGATCGTCGGGGAGGACGCTAACACGTTTGAACTTACTACCTTACCACCAAATACAGATCCAAAAGTATTAAAACGTAAAAGTTTGTTCTTGTCACGGACCTGTCGACCTTCATGAAGGAGGACTTTTGGCCGAAGGGAGTCTTATATCGGCTATTCCGCGGCCAGGTACCGGACACAAGATTGCGCCACACGTCGCCGACAAGTGCAATTCGTCTAGATTAGTTTCCATATTATACTACGAGTCCTGTACCCCACCTACGGTGGGGTCGAGCTCGGCCTGCGGCGCTTGGTCGGGTTCAGTTTACGTTGTGCTCATGGTCTTCGGTGGCACAGCAGTTAGTACTATGAGCGCTTGATGATGAGGTCGATTCCCGATTTGGGCCAATTTAAAAAACGAACATTTCTAAGTTGGTTTTGGTCTGAGTATTCTGGGTTATCGTTGTTTTCTTTTTCTTTCTTTGTCAAGAAAAAGAAGTCCTTAATATAATAGTCCGTCATAGTTGCGTGATGTAAATGAATAAATTAAAATATATATATATTTATATTCCCAGGTACCACGCTGTACAGTTCGCCAGAACAGCGTCGTGGCGGTCACTGTGACTACGATTATAAAGTGGACATCTATGCGATGGGCCTGAACCTCTTCGAGCTGTTCTATCCGATCGGCTCCAACCATGAACGCGTCAAAACCTTTGACGAAGTCCGTAAAGGCATCTATCCAAAAAAGTTCCAAGAAACTCACCCTAATGAGGTCAGATGGTTTTTTTAATGAATGAAACTACTTTTATAGTCGGACGCTAATTATCACACTCACGCTAGATATGAATCATAATTAGATGTCCAAAATGTAAACAAAGGAATGTCTTGAAATGTCATTGTCAAAGGGTGAATACATTTGTGCTAAACCTTCTATTTTTAACGGAATTGTAAAAAGAAGAGGTTCTCATTTTCTACAATTTTAATTATATATTGTACAAAATATTACCAATAAACAAAAACTTTAACAACAACACCTAATAATCTAACAAACGCGCTACAGAGACAAGGAAACATTCGCGTTCGAGAAACCAAGCACCAATGACATCTATGACACGATAAAATGGCGGCACAAAAAATGTTTTTGATTCCGATTGTGTTACCAGGGTCATAAAATTATTTACGACCTTAAACATAGTCTTTTATTATAATTATTGTATTAAAAGAAATTAATGAAAAGACATATTGCAAAAATGTGAATTGTTCTAAGGTTTATCAGATTACAGCTTGAAAAGAGTTCTAAGCATTTATAATCGTCTAAAATGGGAAACTAAAATTTTACATGTATTTTTTTGCTTTATTGACACCTTTGTTTACATTTTGTATGTACATCTAATTATGATTCATATTATAGAGTGCATATTATGAGTTAATAACTATCAAGTTGTAATTAATAATACAAAGATTAAACACAAAGAAAGGACAAATCCGGCGATTTGACAGAACTTGAACAAAACATTTTGCCAAATCACCCGCTCTACAAACTGACGAAATATCTTGTAAATCCCTGTGTTTTAGTACCTCTTGACTTTACAATCCAATAGCCTTCTATTGACGAAGGGTATTGGTTTGTAAAGTTGACTATTTCACATGTAATTTGTCAAACTATCAAGTTATGATACAAGGATCATATTCCGTAGACAGACTGCTGGCGCGGCAGCAGAAAAGCGGCGGTCAGTTGCAGAAATGTAGTTTTTGTGACGTCAATTTGCAGCCACACAGGCACACATACACGCAATTATGTTAGGCCGGCTCGCTTAGGGACATTATCGGTATCAAATCAAATGTATCGATACTGTATTCATGAGCAATATCGCATAAAAATTATCGTACTTAGTAGATTTCTCATAGATGGCGCTACGACTAAAAAGTCGTTGAAAACGAAATACAAAGACACGACGCAAGCACATAGAAAAATTCGTGAGGTCCGCTGGTTCGTTCTGTGGCTTAGTTGGTATAGCGTCTGGCACGGTAAGCTACAAGACGTCTTGGTTCGAATCCGGCCGGATCGAAGGAATTTTTTCTGAGTGTTCGATCTTTCTATTAATAATTATAACAAACTAGTGGAGTAATTTCACAAAAAAACAATTGAATATCAATCAATAAAAATTTAAAAGTGTCGTACTCATAAAAGTATCCTTGAGGCTTAGAGGATGGAAAAAGTCTAAAGTCTAAGCCTTGAAGTATCGATACTTGTGTCCTGCAGATTTTCCCTGCTTTAAGGCAGAATAAAATACATGAATTTGTCTTTTTTTATTGATTTATGATTTTGAATTGAAACAAATAACAAAAGAATTTGATTAATTAAATCATTTGATCAATTCAATCAATCGTCATTTCACATAATTTGTGTTACTTAAATTTTCTATTTCCCACTCCTCCTTTGTGCAATTACTTAAAAACAAAAATCTATTTGGTGACGGTCTGTTTCTCGTTTTGGATACTGTATTGCCTGCTTTTGAGAACAAACGTTCAGAAGGGACAAACTTCTATTAGAAGACAAATGGCGGCATACAATATACAGTCAAGTAATTTGTGGTATAGGTTGCCATTTAAAAAAAAATCGCTCGGTGGCTAGCGTTATGATATGAGGTGTCATATGTAGCAATTATTCGAAACGATACGATACTTGTCAAAAAGTACTAATATCTGAAAAGTATCGAATGAAAAGTGTCGAGTACAAAAGTATCGGTATCGGAGGGAAAAATATTCGATACCAACAAGTATCGACACTTTTCCGTGTCCCTAGTCGCTGACTGGACTGGACAGTCTGCTTGAGGCTGGCATGCAGTCAATATGCAGCTGTTAAAACAAGTAGTTCGCATTTTTAAAACAATTGCGCCGACTGCAAAATCTTCCTTTTGGAGCACATTGATAATCCAAATAAGTTTGCTAAGTTGAATCACAAGTGATTGTAAAATTTCACCGGCGTGTTCTGATCGGTGCTAGTGGAAGAGGTGGTTTTCCACCTGACGCACCTTGGTTGAAAAAAAAAACTACCATCCGTTAATATGTCCAAAAAAAGAATAATCTGTTTTATTTATTTAAAATTTAAATAAAGTAATTTTACATATGTGCAACCTTTATTCTAAGTGGGCAACATTATAAAAACCATTCTGCCATTGGCGCAACAAGAAACCGCGTAAAAAATTTAAATATTTTAGTTTCGATATCGAGCGGGCGTTCTCATTGGTCGCCGTCGTCGCACTACCAAGAATTAGACTCTCAGTTGACTGACTTCCGGCGATTCTTGCGCTACAAAAACTTAAAATGTTTTTAGATGGACGTAGTCAAACGGATGCTATTCAAGAATCCATTGCTGCGTCCGACAGCCGCTGAACTGCGGGCCCTATCGCCGCTGTACGAACACTTGAACGAAAGGTAAGACAGCCCTCCACTCTGTGCAGTTGTTGAATGTAAAATTAATCTTAAAACCATGTAGAGACCTGGGTACTTAGTTTCGTCCAGGTTTGTTTGCCTACGCGAAGTCAATAGTTGTAAACGTAGCATAATAATTATGTTAGCTATATAACGTTCAATTTTGGACAGTAAAGCAGCGTGTAAGGAAGAACGCGACGGTTTATTACATTACGTGGCTTGCTACGTTGCACTTTTCTTGTTGTTGTGCAGATTGTAATCAATCAAGATTTGTATGTTATACGCGACGCGGGATTGTACCAAGCCTTTCATGCAATAAATCAATTAATGGTGTTGTTATTATTTTAACCAGGGAACAACGCGATTCGCATCGACAGATACCATCAATCAACAAGAAATCTTCACACAACACCGGACTTGCATGTAAAGTGACGGAGATCTTTCAAATGTTACGGAACCATAAGGATATCTGTGATAATATGTGCACCGTGATGGCGACATGCCCTGAGAAACTTGTACAACATTTAATTAACAAAAAGTCTGTTGACTGTGTAGATAAGTCATATTTGTTAGATTTAAAAACATTCGCTATAACACTTCATTTTTATAGTCCGGAGACGTACGAATCAATCCGAAGGAATTTTTTTTTGTGTTTACCTCATCCCAGTGTGATATCGATGTGGTATCAGCAACCACGGGGCTGGCCCGGCATCACACTGAGTTCAATAGAAATAATGACACTGACCAATCATACAGCGGCAGACTTATTGGGGATCCTCCACGTGTATGAAGTCAAAATTCGAGAAGATGTTGAGTGTAGGATTCCGATGGATCAAACTGCCACCGCCTATTATGGTTATGCTGACGTAGGCAATCATTTGCATGGAGATCAAATCGATTTAGCAAATGAAGCCTTAATAATTATAGCTGTCACCATGAGGTCTGATAGGAAATTCCCCATTGGACAATTCTTTGGAAGAAATTTTACACCTTCACAAAAAGCTAGTCTCATTAAGCTCTGCATAGATAGTTTGTCTGCATCAAAGTTTCGAGTAATAACCGTTACGTTGAATGGAAACATGTCCAGTTTAAATTTAGCGAGCGCCCTGGGCGCAAATTTTGATGCAGCGCCATTTAAACCTTATTTCATGCACAACGACACCAAATACTATTTGATGATTGACCCCAAACGTCTGTGGAAATTAATGAAAGAACTGTTTGTCCAGAAGCGGCGTCTGTATCACAATGAAGAATTGATCGAGTACAGCTTCGTGGAGGAACTCCATAACAATAGAAATGAGCTGCAGATTACGGATAGAATAGTGTCTAGTCTTTGGAACCAATCGGTAGCTCAAGGGATAGAGCGTATGCAAAGAGAAGTCATGTTTCCTAGTTTAGGTGACTCCACCGCTACAGTAACTTTCATAAAGAATATTAATAAGGTGGTTGGTATTTATGGCTTCAGGAGTAGTATTTCTCGGAAGAATCACAAATATGTCCAAAACCAGATAAAGGAGGTGTACGAATATATACAAGGTCTTAAGAATTGCAACGACGATTTAGTCATCAACTTTTCCAACAAGTTCGTCTTCAATACGATGTTATGTAACTTGCTTGTACTGCTATGTTTGTGCACAGACTATATAAAATCTGGAACCTTAAAATGTCTCCCGATGCGTAAATTAGTTTTGCAAAATTTTAGTTTATTTTTTAACAATGCTAATTTTACGGCGAAAGGTTTGTCTACTATTTATGACCATTTAGTAGAGCAGGCCCTACATGGTTTGCCTAAGTAGAGTCAAACTAGTCGGCCACGCCATCCGTTATGCGAGAGCTAGTAGCGGCAGGTCTTTTCTGCCGCACTAATTTAAATTGGCACGTATTTAAATGACCATTTTTAAATTTGTAAAAGCAGCAGGCCTAAAATCTAAACGGTCATCTTTTTGAAATTATTGATCCTTTTTTCTCAGAGTCATAAAAAAAATTAAATCGATCTATATTTTAATCTGCTCTGTGCTAATGTTTGATTTGTATAAATTAACTGATAGTTTCATGTTGAGCCTCAAAACTAAGACTCAAGAATTCATATACTAACCTAACATAACCTACTGAACGGAAGATTTGACCTATATGAAAAAAGGGAAAAAATATTATTTTTGATTATAATTTAGTAGATATGCTTAACCATAATGATAGTGTTACCTTGAATGCAGTTCATTTATTATCAATTTATCCATAAGTCAACTAATATACACGTAACAGAATATGATATGTAGGTATATCAAAAGAAAAAAAATCGTATACTTGAAAAAAGGATTATCCCATTTAAAATGTGAGATATTATAAAGAAATGCATGTTTCAACATTTTTATGTTTTTATATTTATAAAAAAAACTAATAAAAGGCGTTAATTTAAAAAGAGGAGATAAAAAAACGTAAGTTGATGAATCGATAAAAAAGTTATTCTTCTTATCGATAATTATTATAGTTTACATGCTTGCGTCAGGTGGTAGGCTATAAATATATTTTAAATAATGGCCAGTTACAATTATGAGACATTTACAGGGGCGGCCATTGACTTACAATTATATGGACGTCGGGTCCGCGCTAAAAAGTGTCCGCACTTGTGGCGCTAAAATCGTATACAGAGCGCGATACTCCGCTTTAGTCTTCATTTGTTCTACTGACAGCGCGATACTGCTTGACATTACAATTTAAATTTCGAATAGGTTGACTTGGGACTTTTTTTCGTGGTTTTTGTATTAGACCCGTCGTCCATTTATTTGTAAGTCAATGGGGGCGGCAGCAAATTTGCATTATTTCTCTATTTTCTACGATTTTCGCGGTTAGTGTTCAAGCCACAAGGTTTTTGTTGGTGATTTTTGTCTTTAAAACGGGTAAACTTTTAACATAAAAAAGAAATTTGGAAACGAGATTAATTAATAAAGAGAAAAAGGGGATCAGGTGAGTATCTATGAGATATAGATAAACAATCGGTATAAATAACAATACATCCGCACTGATCGCAGACTAGGTTTGTATAGTGTGCATGAACTACGAAATATAATGTATACCGACACTGACCGATATGAACTAGTTCGTCTTGAAGGGTCTTAATAGCTCCTCGGTCTTTTTAGTTCAATATGAACTAGGAACCACCTGCGTTGATAGTTCACCTGTCTTATATTTAGTAGGAACGGTGTGAGCGGGATGATTAGCGATTTATCACTGCTTTTAGTATAAGTGAGATGCACGACTAAACGTTGCCAGCTCGTTTTAAGTCTAATACGTACAATATGTAATAGGTATGTATTTTATCTGTATGTATAATACCAACCTACGTATGTATGAAGTGTAATATGCTTTTTTTACAAAACATTAGTATTTTGTAAAAAAAAAAGGATATTTAGTTAGAATGAGTCTTAAACCTATAAAGTATGAATGAAATTTAAATAGTACCGATTCCATACAAATTCTATTTTTTAATATATACATATATGTAGTACAGTGTACTATTGCCCTCTTAATACTAGAAGTCCGCAGTAGTTCATGTGAATAAAATAACTAGTTTGGAGCGTTCGTTCAATGTCTTAGAATAGACAACACGAATTAACGAACTAGAAGAAATAAATTAAATAAATGAACTACAAGACCACCACCTACAAACCACATAGAATCGCTTTCTTTAAACACCGATAAGGCACGAGTCTATCGCAGATAGATAGAAGACGGAGAATACGAAAGGGAATAGACAATCATGTTGACAGTAGGGATGTGCGCTGCTCGTAGTGCGGTGCTATATATATTTTTTAAAGTAAAGTTAAACAAATATTGGGGATAGGAAGAATATTTAAAACAAACTAAATCGAGCAAATTTCAGAAGAGTAAATTTCGTGAAATAAAATGTTATGTGACATTATTATGGTAAATAATATTATCTATTTTAACCATTTTATATTTATGTCATTATCAACTTGTAATGTCGTTTTCCCATTAATTTTATATTGCTAGTTTCGACATTTTGATACTGAAGTTGCGATATAATAATATTTATAAAGGTGTACATTTAATAAAGTGCTCAAATAGCATTTATAAAAGAACAATATAAAACCCTATTAATATATGTCACATTAATAGGTCCTTTAAAAACACACATTATTTTAAAGAACCTAAATTGCAATGGGGCCCCCATATATATCTTGTCGAGCCTAGAGGAGACACCACGTTTATTAATGTATAAATGTTCATAGTTGGTTAGTAACAATTGTTTTATTAACCACATACGTAGCTATGAAGATTTAATTAATGCTAAATAAGGCAGCTACGGAACGCGTGTGACACGCATTCCAGTACCTTACCATCGGGCAACCTACCCTGTCCAAGGTGTTTAGGAGACTGTTGTTTGTTGTTGTCCCGCGGTGGCGTTGGTGTTATTACTTTTGGTCGGTTGGTGACTCCTTAGAAAGATGTGAGAGCTTTCAAACATAGAAACCGCTACATCGGGACACTTTTGCTTCTTTCACAGTTATATGACGTACGGCATGTTACCTCAAAGTAATTCTACAAACGTTAATAGAATCTTTGTCCTGCAAAAAACGTGCCAGTATAGGTTAATCAACAACCTGGGCCCCAGAGCGCCTATGAGGGATAAGTTTAAAGAAATTACTATTCTGTCACAAGCATCACAGTACATGAAGTGTGAAATAAAAATGAACTGGCTGTTCTCGACCTGAGTTATCTTCGAAGGAATAAAAATAAGCTGGCTGTTCTTGACAGTTGTCTTCGAAGAAATAAAAATGAACTGGCTGTTCGTGATTCACAAATCACGAATTCACTCAACGGGCAATTGTATGCTTCTATAATAATATTCCTGTTCATATTAAAAATTTGCCGTTTACGAGGATTAGCATTTATTATTTCCACGACACATAGAAAAAGACGGGTCCTAGATATTTATAGGGTCGGCAGACTAAAGCACATAAGTCAAAACAGTGCTTCATTTGTTAATATATAATTATATATATTTTTTGTGTTGTTTTTAGTGTTGGAAGTTAAATAACCTCTAGAATAAAGTTCGAAATTTATGAAGTAACAAATGAATTTGACTTATGTGCTTTAGCCAGTAGATGCATTAATTTAAATGAATGATTTAAATTAATTGATTGAATAATTTAAATTTCGAATTTTGACTTATGTGACTTAGTCCGCCGACCCTAGATTTATAGATCACGGGACTCAGCGCGGGATCACAAATTACTACACGAGATGGTTTTTCGCCAGAGATCATAAACCTATACCTTGTTTGAACGACACGTATTATATAGTCATACAGACACCAGACTCAGATTAATAAAGTATCCAAGACAAAATCCCAAGAGTCCAAATAATATATGTGAAAAATGTACATTGTATCCTTATCCTTAGGTTTCTCATTCACAAGTTTCTCACTGGTGGCGCTGACGGCAAAAAAAACCTTTTAAATCCAATGCAAAGATGCAGATACAACAAGCACAGAACAATTCGTAAGATTCGCTGACACGGTCTGTAGCTTAATTAGATGGATTTTTTTGTGTGATGTTCTAACTTTGTATAATAACAAACTAGTGCACTACATATTATCACAAAAAAGTATACGAATATCATATTAGTAAACATATCATGATAATCAATAAAATAAATATGTTATTCATGTTTAAAAACTGGGGCATGTTGAATTTTTTATCATATTTAATTAAGAGAAATGTATTTGATCGAACTAATAACATAATAAAAACGAAAAAATTAGTTTAATAATTGTACTTATGTCTTTTTTTTTAATTTTTAATGGTTGGATGATTTCAATTCCGTTTTATTCTCACAACGCTAGTATTTTTTCCTTGGCCAAGTTACCCAAACGTTTCCAGGACTGGACTACGTGGTTCGCGTTGTCGCGATGGCCTCAAAGACCGGAACGCTACGTCATCCAGTCCGAAAACTAATTTTATTGCCGTGTTAGTATTTAGAAATACAATTTGTTTACAATTTTGTATGTACCTCATTATTTTTTTACTTTTATTCAGTACGAATTGTCTTTCATTTTTGTAACCACACGTTTCATAAATTTTTTGTGAAGTGTTGTCACACAGGGGACCATGTCACCGACGCTGCTGACTTCATAATCATACCTACATAAAAACTAAATACTGTCGTAACTCAAACTTGGTGGAATTGAGAAAACACGATTTATAAGTATAAAGAAATTATAGATTAGTAGGTTGTTATTGCGAACAATGCATTGACTTACAATTATATGGACGTCGGGTCCGCGCTAAAAAGTGTCCGCACTTGTAAGGCGCTAAAATCGTACACAGAGCGCGACACTCCGCTTTAGTCTTCATTTGTTCTACGGACAGCGCGATACTGCGATGACATAACAATTTAAATTTCGAATAGGTTGACTTGGGACATTTTTTTCGTGGTTTTTGTATTAGATCCGTCGTCCATTTATTTGTAAGTCAATGGAACAATGGGATTCTTTTTATATATAACACTTAGTTATCCACTTATACCTAAACGAGAATATAAATTTATGGGTTCCATTCAGCATTTATTTGAAGTTTAAAACCGTTTTTTCTCAATTTAACTATTTAAGACATTATTTGGTTTCATGTGTTCCATAATATACTCTTTATTTTGTGATATAAATAAATAAAATTCAAATAAATTTCATTTTGTAGCAATTTGGCTATTCACGTACGTACTTACTCCCGGGCAAATAATTGGAGCCACTTTGCATTTTCATGATTAAATACCCTAA